TCGGTTCGCTGAAAGCACTAGTCAGCTCGCTGAAAGGACCATGTTCCATTGAAGAACCATCATTCTGCGCTGCTGAGACCGTTCCATTTTGCGTGGTGTGGTGGTGGGCTGCGCTTGCTGGGGATCATACACTTCAATGTGCTGCTTTTCTCCCATGACCTCCAGCTGGTTGAAATCTTCCGCCCCTTGGTGTGATGGTTTTTTCCTGTCGGCATCTTTTCCTGCTAAAGACATTCACATCTTCTCCTCCCCTGTGGTGAGGATGGTTTTTTCAACAAGTGTAATCCTTCTGTGTTGCCTAAACTATTCGGATCTGTCCCCTCCCCCAACAGGGCGACGGGCTCTCACCCTTGGTGTGAGAAAGACTGAACTTGAGCCGTCTGAAGCCTGCAGCAATCTCTTCCCCCGTAGTTCTCAGCTTGCTATCCGTGACATCACCAAGACACCCAGCATTCCTGTGACTGCATTGGTGTGACTGTTGGCATTTTTGAGGTCTGCAACATCAAAAACGATGACGGCGACTGGTGAGCCTCAGAAACCATGACAAATACCAGAACCATGATGTGGATGTGAACGATCCCGTGACTGTTTGGTGCTTTTGAAGGATGCCAGGCAGGAGCGGGGGATGCCTTTTCGGGGGAGGAGGGGGGGGTTGGCGAACCAAGAACCAGGATCATGTGAAGCAAAAGCACCCTCCGTCAGGAACTAGACAAGCCAGACTGCCGTCAAGGTACCGTTCCACTCATTAATCAAGCCGTGGCAGTCAATGCCGAAAATTGGGACACGCGCGTCCTTAGACCAGGCCACTGCAATCAAATAAGGTTTCACCAAGGGTTCATCAGCATCTGCACGGCTCAGGCGGCAGAAGACATTTGCTTTCTGAAAACTGCAGATGCCCCACTCCTGTGCAATGTGAGCAGGTGACCAGCGGGCAAGTGCTGGAGCTAGTCAAATGTGAGACATAAGGGATGGGGTTTCTCAAAATGTCGCCTCAGGGATTCGAGGGATAGGTTGAATTGCAAAGAGATTGCGATCATAGGGCTCCACCTCGAGGATTCTGTACTTTTTGAGAAACTCCCACAGGCTGGGAGGCCCATCGGCCAACCTCGCACACTCTGTACAAGCCCACGCGCAAGCGCTCGCGCCGATGGATTTCCGGACGTCTACGCCTTAGAGCATCGAGAGAACCAAGGTACCGTCCAAACTGGCTTGCGCTGCAAGTCTCTCTGTAGTGGCAGCTGCATTTCAATGATCTCAATGGATGCAAGCCAGGCTGCATTCTTAGTCATTGCCGTCTCCAGTAATTTGAGACCACCGCGCACCATCTGCTGGGCTGAGCCGGTGCTTATCCTGAAGGCACATGTACTTGCCCTCCCAGCTGTTCGTTGGGTCCTTGACGTGTCATTTCTGTCAGGAGGCCTTGCGGTCTTGACATCCTCATGTGGATTCCTTGGACGTTGCTACCAAAGGATCAGCCACGTGCTCAGCTACTTTGTATGCATCAGTAGTACTAGTACTCTTGGAAATACGAATACTATTCGAATGTACTATATTAATTCTGCTCATGATTTTTCTTTATTACACACATTGTTAGCACTTTTTTTTGCGAGCGCACTATCGCACTAGCTAATCTCTCGTTAGCTCAGCTAATCTGCTTGTCAGACTTGGAAGCTGGCTTAGCCGCACTCATTAGTATTCTGCATAAGTCTCTTTTGGATGGAGAACCCCTGCTGCTAAACCTAGTCTAGTTCATGTTCTCTATCATTGTAGTTTCCACCTTCTTCTCCACTCCCTCAACCCTGAACCCTGAACCTTCTAACATACTATATATATATATCCCCTAACCCCACATAATATCTAGTCGTTCCATTGCCCTATCACGTGGTTCCATGGGATGCACATATCATGGTACTATGTCATCACATAACGGTAGAAGTACTGTGCAATATAATGGTAGCATCTTCCCTGTAAAACACCTATCTATCTATATCTATTTCTATTTCTATATACACATACATATATATAAGCTCCGTATTGGGGACACTAAGCCCTAAACTTGAAACCCTGCAAAGCCAGGTGACGCCAAGCTAGACACCAGGCCCCCGATACCTCCAAGCAGTTCTCCTGCCACTTCTCTGCGAGAAAGCTACGCGACTACAAAAACCCCAATATAATACCATCCCCCTCCCGATAGATTATCGGGACATGAAAATGCAAAGGGGTCATATTGGGATATATTGTAGACTTGTACAAATCAAAAGTATAATGCAATTATGAAATATATTTGGGTGTATAATTCCTGTTACAGTAGGGGGATGGGGGGGGGGCCTTGAATTGAATACAAGTTTAAGTGGGCCAGCTGTGAAGAGGCCGTCCTGCTGCTTCCGCTGTCTCCTGAGGCATGAACAGTGCCATGAAAACATGTATTGCAACTGACTTCTGGCAGCTCTTGATGTCCTTCATCTGCTGTCGCTGAGTCCCGCCCTGTGGGCCAACGCCAGCCAGCTTTGTCGTTGCCTTGGCTCTCGCACACTCGACTGGGCATCTCACCAACATAGGAACCGGCAGCATGCTGCATCCCTGCAGCCGCGCTATGACAGGATTCTCCCTGTGACATGTATTCAGAGGTAATCAGCTAGGCCAAGCTGCACAAGTGAGGTCCTTGACCTCGGCATGCAAACAAGCAAGCATTTAACATTTAACGCAAGCGCAAGTGAACGATGGTGATACAGAGGTCGCTCAAAGAGTCCAAGGAGCGTGTGCAGGAAATTGCGAGGTCAGCTCCTGCGCTGCTCTCTAAGATTCAGCAATAACACTTGAAAATAGCGTGACGCTTCCATCCTGTCAAAGGATGCTGTCTTCATATGCTTGGCAAACTACCATCCACCATACCAGTGGAATTGCAGACAGCTCCTTGATTGACGCTGCCCGTTCGGCGCCGGAGCCAACGAAAGCCTTCCTTACGTTACAATGTGCCAGCCAGGAATGATCAGGAGGGTTCTGGCCCAAAGAATATCAACAAAAATGCGTATTTTCTGCAAGGCTCCCTGAAAAACTCTTGGCCCATGCGCACACCAACTATAGGATTGCTATGGATTGCTGATGGCCACCCTGGTGACTGAGAATTTGTTTCATGTGCGACCCCCAGAATCCATGAAACATTGAAAACTACCCATCAACTCGAATCTAGCTTCTCCAGTTGCGATGCAGGGTTTAAGACTTTGTTGGCACGCCGGTGCAATTTGCAGCGAAGCTCTTCCACGTCAACCACGTACTGTTCCGCCATGTCAAACCGCCCAGTTCCCATCTCCTGCAGCTCACGGGCGGACGGGGAGGCTTGCTCGACGGCCGGCAGAACCAACGCGAAGATAGAGCTGACGCACATCGAGATCGCAGGACAACGAGCAATGGTTGCAGCCGCGATCTCCAAGTATGTTGCTTCAGGCGGGCCAGGAAGTTCGTTGCAAACGGCCAAGCCCAACACTGCGCCGCTACTCATAGCTGCCAGAGTGGTGATGGTAAGAGCTTGCAGGAACTCCAGGAGACGCCCAGCTGTTGCTGCCGTGGACATTTCCAAGCCCAACACGCATGCGGCCATTAGCCACGGGACCTGGCAAAAGGCTGCTCGTCGGGTTTGGTCGCGGTACTGCTGCGCTTCCTGATCCAGCCGCCGCGCATACGTCTTGATACGTGTCAGGAGCCCAGGACCCTCATTTGGCCCCACCTGTGACTCACATTGGCTTTGTTGCTGGCGAATTCCAAAGTAGACCACCACAGACCAGAGGACGCTTGCCACGGATGCCCAGAAGATAATGCTTCTCGGGCCATTCGACTGAGCTACGCAAGCAACGCCGAAGGCACCTCCTACCTGCAAGGTCAGGAGAAGTGGAGCAAAAGCGACACCGATGAGAGCAATGCAGTCTCTGGAGTCCACAGGCGTATCGCACAGGACTCGGTTTTCTGCCAATGCTGTCTTCGTGCCATCTTCCGTCCTTGCTTCTCAAGCCACTGGCAGTGATTTTCACGAGGAGAATCTACAAACACAACAGGGCATGAAGCCTCGTGCTTGCCAGCCCAGCTACAGCTTCGCGGCTTGCATCAGATCATCAACCATGGCCTTGCCCTCAGCCATGCTGAAGCCTGCTTCCTTGCCGCCATGGGCCTTTATCCTCTCTGAAGCAAGACAAAGATCTGTGCAGAGCGGCCGGGATTCAGACAGCTTAACGCTAGGTCTCAGCATGCTTTAGTCTATGAATATCCCGTCCTTTCGATCAACGCTTCAAGCTCCTTGCTGACCTCCATGTCCGTTGCACAACCCTGTGCCGCTCAGGCACTCTCGGGGATTTGAGCCAAATGCTTGGCGCGGAACGCTGGACCCCCCCCCAAGTCTGAGGCATGCTCTCAAAGAAAAAGCTTCGTGGGTGACCATGCAACTTGCAACCAGGATGCATCAATGACACGACGCATGTCTCGAGCCACTCGCGCAGACATCTCGACAGACGCCTGCAGGCAGCGATTTTGACTCAGTGAGGAGGTCGTGTATGCTGCTTCTTGTCCCAAAGCGCATCTGCCGAGCGTACTGTCAGCCAGCACGTCTCACGCAGTGAGCACCTCACTCTCTAGTCTCCGGTACACCACCCTGCATTGATAGTTGCATTACCCAGCCGCTTCAAATAACAGTAGCCCAGTCCAAGCATGCCACGGGTTGCGAATGGCCCTGAACCACTCCCGACCCTGTATCCTCTCGGCCTTGAGCCTTGTCACGTCATGTAGTATGCACAAAGCACCTGCTTTGCATGGTCAGAGTCTGAGCTATCTGACAAGAGCAATGGTGCGCGCCTTCGGTTGCCCCAGCTGCCCCAGCTGTTGCAAACTTTGGCATAAGGTGCAGAATCACATCGGAGCCTGGACAGCGCAATCGAAGAAGTTGACATTCAATGAACTCGTGTTCTCATAGACTTTTGGGGAACCCATGAGATGAGCTATAGTCTAAACTCCTAGTATTCGTATTCCCCTTAATAAGCCCCCCAAACCCTAAACCCCGTATAATCCCCTACATAACCCCTAAACCTTAAAACCTAGAGAATCCCCTATATAACCCTCTTGAGGAGTTTAGATTATGGTTCATATGGACACCCCTGGCCCTTCCACAAGGCTCCGACAGCGTTGCTCCGGTCCACTAACCTGGATCAGACTGGCTATAACCTTAACTCCTAGCCTCCCCTCAAGAACCCCTAGCATAGGGTCGAGGGTTTAGGGTGCAGGGTCCAAACTCCTAGCATCCCCCTTCAATAATCCCGAGTATGGGGTTTAGGGTTTACGGTGCAGGGTTTTAACTCCTAGCATACCCCTCAATAACCCCTAGTATAGAGTTGAGGGTTTAGACACGCGCATCGCACAGAGTTGAGGGTTTAGGGTTTAAGGTTTAGGGTCTAAACTCCTAGCATCCCCCTCAAAAACCTCTAGTATAGGGTTTAGGGTGTAAGGTTTAAGGTCTAAACTCCTAGCATCCCAAACTCCTAGCATTCCCCTTAAGGTTTTGGGTTTAGGGTCTAAACTCCTAGCATCCCCCTTAATCACCCCTATAGTAGTCCCCTATATGATTCCTTATATAACCCTCTTGAGGGGTGTAGATTTTGGCTCAGATTTAAAGCGGCAACGGAACTTCGACAACCTGACTCATCGAACCGGTGGAGATGTAAAGGAGACAAACCTGATAGCAGGGATGTGAAAGGAGCAGGGGAACTTAGCATGGAGATGTTTATAGCTCAATTGCAGTGATTTATGGTTGTCAAAGGGCCGATGGGCAACTGACAACCGATTCTTCTGGCGTGAATGCAGAAGCATACAAAAAATGTAAATGCTTCCAAGTTATGACCCAGAAGCGCAGAGGCCGACCTGGCAGACCAATCAGAACTTCAGCTGCATATGTATCTAGTTTGGGGACCCTGTAAGACTACGCCAACACGTGCATCCTGGATGATAGGGGCCTCTCAAAAAACCGCATTTTGAGAAAAGCCAACTGTCATCAGAGCATCTCTGCCACTTTGGCGGGTGCCCCAAAATTTTGAGCAAAATCCCTAGAACGAGGATCATGCCATTTTGGGTGTTGAGCATGCTCTATTCTCGCATGTCCAAATTGGGAAATGCAGCGCAAGGGCACATCGCTTGCCTCTGCAGACCCAGGAACTCCTCGCAATGCCTGCGACCTTGCTTGATTTCCCTGGATTCGTGAGCTATGAGTGCAACATGGCCGGCAATGCGCCGCACATGATCACGTGGCCCAAATAATCCTTCTTCGGCGCTGAGCAGTCAGGAGCATGAGGGTGCTGCAGGAGCTCTGTCACAGCCCTTCGGTGCAACGGCTCCACAATGTCCGCAAGGAAGGCCTGAAACGAGTTTACTCCAAGGCCCGCCTCCGAACAAAGTAAACAGACAGTCAAGGGATCTGCTACAACTTGTCCACTTGGCTTGCTCTGCACTGTTTCAAGAATTGAGCTTACAAGCCGCCCAAGTACAGGAACACAGCTACCTAATCACCCCTTGACAGCTGAAAGACACTGGCCTTCTCCGTTGGTTGGCCCACCCTATAGCAGCAGTAGCTCAGTGGCTCATGCTAAACAGCACTCAAGAAAAGCCCAAGCAGGCGCTCGACACAGGAACTCTTTTCGAGCTATGCGCGTCCCCAAGCAAGTATGTTACAAGTGATGCTTCACTTTGGAAGCACCCGATCTGCAGTGACCCCCAGCAGATTACCCTCACACAAGAGGCACCGACGGCTGCAACCTTACAGAGGCCAGGAGTGTGGAAGCACTGATTTTGCGAAACGAAAACTAAGGCGAGCTCGCAGCCGGAGACATGGTCCTGTCACGTATGTTGATAGGCTGGCAAAGCATGGGTGCGAGTGTTGTTGAATTGTAAGAGGCTGGTCCTGATCAGTGGTGCTTCTGGCGGCTTCCGCTGTGGCGGCAGCCTCATGGCCGAAAACGAAAACACCGTGATCTATGCCTGCGTAGCCAAAAACAGCGTAATTTCAATTCACTTCCATGGCAGACCGCACCAAAATCCAACTCAAAGGGTCCAACGCCTTGCGCTAAGAAGGCCTCACAAGCCGGTCGTAAAATAGCTACGTCACACTTGGGGCCCTAGGCCTAGGCTGCCCGTCGATGTTCTTGCTCCACAAGCCCGGAGGATTAAAACGCTGTTGCAAGCTCACGCACCATCATGCACCACTGGGCTCGCAACATGACAGTTCGAGTCCAGGCACGCGTCGTACGCGGTGGCCTTATCGCACACGAACGTTGGAGACTGCTGGACTCCCTCTAAAACGTGGCCGCGGCTTCAGGCTTCTACAGCTGTTGCCGAATCTAGGTAAACTATCATTTCTGAAAGGCACCGCTTGCCCTGTTGTCCTTTGGGGTTGCGCAAAGCACGCAACACTTCAAATGATTATTGGTTGACCATGTTTTTGCTGCTTTGTTGCCTGAGTTCACTGTCAGCTTGATGCGTGCCTTCCATCTGGCTCGTGAAAAGTGCTGCCAAGCCACATTTGCACAGGCATACTCTGCGTGACCTGAAGAGCGATGCAGCACCACCATGCGAAATGGACCAACAGTGTACTTCTGCTAAATGGCCTCTTCGATCCTCATGTGATTCCCCACGCGTCACAACAAGAAGACAAGAAGATACAGCAATCTTTGAGTTTCCCATCAGGTCTTGGGGCGGGACCATTATTTCTAGTTACAAGAATTCTCATCACCAGCCTGTGCTGCCCACACAATCGTTGCAGAAAACCATCAAGCCCTTGCAAACTCACTGAAGATCCTGATGAGAAACTGTCCACGGCATTTTGGCCCAACTGGATACGGGCTCATTGTCTTGTCTGGGACTTCTTTCTGCTGAAACAAATGGTCTTCAAAACCGCACCACCATCTGCAAAGAGGGTGAACTTTGCAAATTCAATACAACAGCCCGGTCCAACTGCAATGTTCATTGTCAACGAAAGAAGATTTTTGTAGGCAAGCACAACCTACAAGTAAGGGATCGACAAGCATGCTCTCCACAGCACAAATGTTAATTGCCCGCAATCGGGGTTTGTTCGCATTTGGCCGGTTTTTGCCAGCAGGCTGTCGCAGGTTACCGCTTGTAAAAATTCCGGGAGGCGTACTTTTATTGACATGGTCTTCCTACAGCAACATCGGAAGTGATTTCTGCTCCTTGCTCAGCACTAAAACACCGCAGCAGCCCCTGCTAAGCAGGTTATGTGCAGCCGTGCAGCAATCGTCTGCGCTGGCAGACTCTGAGGCTGACAGGCTGCAACTGGTACCGCCAGCACTCTCGATGGCATGGGGCTCAGAGACCGCACCTGCGAAGATCATTGTAGATGTGATACTGGCTGGCTGCCGAAGCTTTCTTTTTCATTCATGCCAAAGCAAAACAGGATGCACCAAGGTTTCGCTCTTCCGCTTGTAGATGCTTGAAACTGAAAATTCAAATGACAACAACCAAAGGATCAGAGAAATGCTTGACGGCCATGTCACCGCAGGCACCGCTGTGCCCATTGTCTGTGCCCAGTGCAAAGTAGGCGTTGGGCTCAAGGACTGCACCTGCTATGAGATGATGACAGCTAGGAGACAAAAGTATGAACGCTCGTCTGCCATCACCTGGCAAGGAGGAGGCAGCTGGCACTGCGGCGCCGTAGCTGCCAAGGCTGCAACTGCCTAAATTCCACCAAGAGGTTTGCATGCTTGCTTGCGTCACAGAGGTGCTACCGGGGAGTGTTGCCACACTGTTGGAACGACTCGTGCAACGCAAGCAGATACAGAAAAAAGAAGCGAAGGCAGACAAATGAGCAGACATGTGCTGGATCAAAACATGCAGATTATACGGGAAACACGAAATCCAGCCGATCGGCAATAGGACTCTGCTGGACTGTCACGCCGATAGTATTTGGCATTGCCCTGATTGAGGATATGCGGCCCAACCTTAGCGTGCTTGAGAGGGCTTCCACCAACTGTAGCAGCTGCATGAGGAATTTGTCTTTGGTAGCTCCGCAGCTGATCTTGGCTTGGCCGAGGAGCTCATGTGCGTCGCCAACGGATGCATCCAGAAAGCGCGGACCTGCAGACAAGCCAGGAGCTCAAGCTGAAGCAAAAAGCTTTCAACAAAGCCTTGCAAGCAAGACATGTCCATTGATCTTCAAGACTTTTGAATCACATCCTGTATGACTGCAAGAAGCCGGCACCTGGATGAGGAAGAGCTGCCCCACCTTCAGTCCAGACTGCAGGATGTAGTGCAAGCAC